CGCGAGCACCACCTGGAGGGCCGCAAGAAACTTTACGTTTTTCACCTGTGGGCCGCAAGGGCCGCGGGACCAAACAAGTTATCAATTGAAGACATCAGAATGACCACTGTTATCTATGACTGTTATCCATGAGACAGTTACAATACACCATCCCACCACTAGTAGCAGTAATGCCTCAGTTAGTTGTTTAACAAGCGCTAATAAGCAGAAGACGACACTCAGTCAACCGTAGCCTTTAGCAAAAGTTATGGAGAAATTTTTAAAGCGGAAAAGGGGAGACCAAAGTTGCGCCAACCCGCCCCAAAAGTCAAGATTTTGCCGCAAATACAATCCTGACTTCATTAAGTATGGATTTGTGAATGGAGGTGACGAGGCAGAGCCGAGAGCCCAGTGTGTGGAGTGTGGGCTAATGTTGTCCAACGAAGCACTGAAGCCTTCAAAACTAAAGCGCCACCTAGAAACCAAACATCCATCACTTGTGGGAAAGTCGGTGGAATTTTTCAAGAGAAAAGAAAATGGGCTTCAGATGCAGAAAAGGTCTGTTGTGTCACTGACTGGAAATTCTAAATGCGCTTTGAAAGCCAGCTACCTCGTAGCCAGACGAGTGGCACAGACTAAGAAAGCATTCACAATAGCGGAGGAGTTGGTTTTACCTGCCGCTGTGGATATGTGCCGTGAGATGATCGGAGAGGCTGCTGCAAAAAAGCTGCTAACCATCCCACTCTCAAACGACACTGTTAGTCACCGTATCGCGGACATGGCCACAGACATACAGCATCAGTTGCTAGAAAGAATAAAAAGCAGGCCATTTTCTCTTTGCAACTAGACGAATCTACTGACGTCACAAATGCTGCACTGCTACTGGTTTTTGTTCGCTATCACTGGGACAGTAGTTTGCACGAAGACATACTTTATTTCAATTTTCATTTACAACTTATTTAATTTGAAAAATATTATTTTGAATTTATTTATTTTAGCAACACATTTTATTGTTTTTATTTTATTTATTATTTTTTGTAAGTAAAATTTGTCAAATCTAACTTTTTTGTGTTAATATGCCTGACTTGAGCCTTTATGCAGATTGATTTGTTCCATGAGTAGTTGTGTGTTTGGCATCTTGTTGTATGTGCAGGAAACTAAATTTTTTCATTTAAAATTTGTCAAATCTAACTGATTTTTGTGTTAATATGCCTGACTTGAGCCTTTAAATTTGTTCTTGATGCAGATTGATTTGTTCCATGAATTGTTGTATGTGCAGGCTTACATACACATTAATAATAAACTGTTAAACTGCAAGTGGATTTCATTTAGTTATTGAATACAAATCAAACCAAGGGTGAGATCAATAAACCAGTACAGTGCTAATATTTGAATGGGCCCTGGGCCATTTTGTACTGTAAAATTTGGGCCGCGACATCAAAAAGGTTAAGAACCCCTGGTCTAAACACTGTACTTGCTGAGACGCCCAGCATCTTTGCAATGCAGGGCACAGACAGGTTAATTTCCAAGAGCTCCTTCATGCTCTCTCTCTGTCTAACCTGGGACGCCCTGTTACTCCAGGTACTGTGCCAACTTGAATATCTCTGCCACTGGTCCATTCAATATGCTCAGTGACAAGTCTACAAAGCTGTTGCAGGGCATGTAATATCTCAGTGGGCACATCAACGTGTCGAGAAAGCGCATTGCAGAGATACAATTCCTGCCAACATGTAAATTCCATGTAATCCATGTCCATAGGTTCTCTTGTGAGCCCCAGGTCCAATTTTGACAGCAACCTCAAGAGCATCTGCCTTCTCAGAGTGTCCTGTGAAGACAGAGGAAACTACATTAGAAAAACTAATGCCAAATCAGCAAAATAATAAAGAAAATAAACAAAAACATACACTAAGACTTGATTAATAATTAGGGGTTTCTATAGGGGCTCCCAGCTGTGTGATAGACTGTACCTATCGTTTGAATCGATGGAGGGAAAAACTAAGCAATAAAAAAGGGACACCTAAGGGTTTGTAAAAAGACCACTGTGCACGTTTCTGTGCACGAAAAAAAGTGAGGTCTTTATGGTTTCGTGGACAAAATGTAACTGGAGTTTCTGTTTGCGGCACAGAATGTATTTTGTGAACGAAAATGAGCACTACGGACCTCATATTTGTGAGTTTTTTTTCTACAGATCAGGAGCGAAGTCACAAATGTTGCGTGTTCCACAAATGAGCAAAACTTATTTCAGGTATACAAATGGCTGTGCCACAAAACACATTATTTAATGATGAAATAAAGCAATGCCTTGCTGCATTTTGCACACAAAAAGACAAACTCAAGCTACATTTTCTCCATGAAAGCATAACGACCTCACTTTCTTCCGTGCACAGAAATCAAAAGGTGGTCCGTTTCCCAAAAGTAACTATGTTAGCAACTTACATAATTTTAACCGTACAAGTGAATGGTTCCAGGTATGCAAGTTGCTAATGGGTTGCTTTTGGGAAACGCACCCATGCAGGAATGACACTGCAGGTCCACGGCTTGATGAACACTCCCACTGTGCTTTCACAGAACAATCAGTGCTGACCAAATCTAGATAGAGTTTTGGAAAAGCTCCGTTTTCAGGCCCAAAATGCATAACAAAATAAGTTTTGGAAAAATACCCGCACTCGTGTGGACAAGGCCTAAGGACATAAGTCAAATTCACTTACCTGCTAATTCACCAAGCCTTCAGATTCAGCCATAGCAACAGCAGCAGCCACTCTGTACCTTCCTCTATCCAGCTCGCGGCTCCAACTCCCACGGCTTCATCAAGGCGTCATTTCACACAGATAAAAATTAATATAGTCTGCAGCCAATCACAAAGCCAGTACCCATCCGCCAATAACGTTCGCTGTCAGAGACGGCATGACTCCGCCCCCAAACTGTCAAAACCTCCCCCCGGCAGAACGCGAGCACGGAAATCCCGCAGAGAGGGGCCGAAGGATATTATGATGAACGCGCACGCAGCTCTTCGCCCTGTGCTCGCGAGTGGCATATTTACGTGTGCGAGTTTTGACTTTGCGCTCGCGAGTGGCATATTTACGTGTGCGAGTTTTGACTTTGCGCTCGCGAGTGGCATATTTACGTGTGCGAGTTTTGACTCTAATGTGACGCCATACAGGCGGTGATGGTGCTGCTGTGCTGAGCACACCTTTGGGTGTTGGCTGCACACATTCCTGTGCCTCAGAAACCGGGGGGGCGACCATCCGGCTGTGTGCTGACTGAGGCTGTGCTGTAGTCACAAAACGAAATTGTGAATGCTGTAAGATGTTGCCAATGAATTAAAACATCTAAATGATACGCTGTGTGATACTGAAGTTGTAACGTTGTTCCATTTCGTGGAAAATTTGGTGGCTCAGGGTCAGGTTCATCTTGCCTAAGCTCTTCAGATACCGTCAAGCCATGATTTTGTGCTAGATTATGCAACATGCTACATGCCAGCAGCCTTTAAGCTGCCCTATAGTGCGCTCTACCGCTGCCCGAACCCGAGAATGGGGGCCATCATTATAATGTCTCTCCTGTTCATTCTGTGAGTTTGCAGTGAGTTTGCTTCTGTCGTCAAATTTCACAAACTGGGCACTTTTGTAGGCTCTGCAGTTCTGCAGGAGCCTCCAGTGTCTGCCCACGAGGATGTGATCGACCTCCTTTGCCGCACCACCAGTATTGGAGTACCAAGTCCAATGATGCGGCTCCGGGCGTTGGAACCAGGATCAGATAGACACCATCATAAGGAGCCGATCCACTATGGAAACAGCTACTCCCTGAGTATGGTAGCCATCAGACCGACCAGACCAAAAGTATGTATACCCACCTACAGAGATCTGACCACTGCCCTGCTTGTTTGTATTGAGCAGTTGTGAGTTGTTTTACAGTGGCTTGAGTGCCAATCCCACCACTAATCCCCAAAAAATTGTTTCCCTGCTAGTTGGAGGACAATTTCAGATGGAGTTTTTTCAAGTCACAAATCATCAAATGAATGAATCAAGACCGAGTAAAAATGACAAAACGGTAATATAACTATGTTTATTTGTATGGCTGTAGCTGAAGGCAAAGTAAACTTCCTGTATTCTTAATGTTCCTATTTAACTGAATAATTTTACAACTGTAAGTAGCTTAAGAAACAAACCAAAAACTAATAAATGTAATAATTTCATATAGTTTCTGAAACAGGCATATATGTAGCAGAACATTTTAAAAATGTGATTGCATTATATTATACTGTACATTTGCCAAATGTACTTGCATACACTAATTTGCCAAACTGAATTCCCCTTTCATGTTATTTTACCGCTTACAGAGTGTCCATCGTAAATCCACATGCATGGTGGCAGGAGAGATGTGACGCCATGCGGCACACGTGGCGTTCCAGTTCCATGTGTGGAGTAGCATGTCGCTTAACCCACCCACCCACACAAAACCACTAGCCACAAAGCCCCCCACCCCCGAACTAGCAGATCGCATTGTGTGGTGTAAGACTTCAGTGGCGGTTTTATGTCCCCTCGTTCGAGGAGCATGTGAGGCAGATCAGATGAGTGTGATGTGGGTCTCGCCCAGCTTCTCCTCCTCCTACTCACCGTGTGGTATTTCCAATAGTACGTGTGCCAAATGTTCCTTCAGGCAATACGCAGGACAGCTATGTGGAGCAAAGTCTGTACAACCAGTCTGTCTGAACACATACAGTACTCAATGATGTTTAAGTGATGTTTGTGTTGGTGTAAAGCTATGATATTATGTCTGTAAAAGGGTGTCAGCTTAGCCATTTCAAAACCTCCCCTAAAGTTACTCCCGTATTTGCAGTTACTAGTGATATACAGTTGTGTTCAGAATAATAGCAGTGTGTCTAAAAAAGTGAATAAAGCTGAAAATCCTTATAATAGTTTTTATTTCCAAAACTTTTATTTCCATACATGCAAATGCATGTATGATTGTATTCCAAATCAAAACAAAATTCATCACATTTGTGTTACTCCTTTACAGAAAGTGAAGGAAAGGGAATATTAGGCTGTTCAAAAAAAATAGCAGTGTCCACATTCTTCTTTACAAACTCAAAGAATCACTGTATGAACTGAAAAATGTTTTAAGATTTTGCTTTCTCTTGAATCATTGAACTAATATTTAATTGTATAACCACTGTTTCTGATAAATGCTGCACATTTGTGTTGTATGGGGTCGACCAACTTCTGGCACCTGTGAACAGGTATTCCAGCCCACGATGATTGGACTACATTTCTTGGTTTTGCCTCAAACAGCATTTTTGATGTCACCCCACAAGTTTTCTATTGGATTAAGGTCCCGGGATTGGGCTGGCCACTCCATAACATCAATTTTGTTGGTCTGGAACCAAGATGTTGCTCATGTGTTCAGGATTGTTTTCTTGTTGAAACACCCATTTCAAGGGCATTTCCTCTTCAGCATAAGGCAACATGACCTCTTCAAGTATTTTGAGATATTCAAACTGATCCATGATCCCTGGTATGCGATAAATAGGCCCTCCACATTTGACAAACTGTCTGCAGCCACTAGACCCAAAAAGAATAATCTTGCTTCCATCAGTCCACAAAATGTTGTGATGTTTCTCTTTAGGCCAGTCAATGTATTCTTTGGCAAATTGTAACCTCTTCAGCACGTGTCTTTTTTTCAGCAATGGGACTTTGCAGGGGCTTTTTGCAGATAGCTTGGCTTCATATAGGCGTCATCTGATTGTAACAGTACTCACAGGTAACTTTAGACCTTCTTTGATCTTCCTGGAGCTGATCATTGGCTGAGTCTTGCCATTTTGGCTATTCTTCGAAACATTCGAATGGTAGTTTTTCATTTTCTTCCACGTCTTTTAGGTTTTGGTTGCCATTTTAAAGCATTTGTAATCATTTTAGCTGAGCAGCCTATCATTTTCTGCACTTCTTTATATGTTTTCCCCTCTCCAATCAACTTTTTAATCAAGGTACGCTGTTCTGAACAATGTCTGGAATGACCCATTTTACTCAGAATTTCAGAGAGAAATGCACTATAACCAGCATGTACAACATTTGCTGCCTTCCTTCCTTAAATAAGGCCCATAATTGGCACCTACTTTTTCACAGAATGAATGACCTCACTAATTGAACTTCACACTGCTATTATTTTGAACACGCTCCTTTCAAGTAATGATTCTGTTACACATATTCAGCAGCATGCATGTCATGACTGTTGGGTCTGTTGGTTTTCCATTACTCTACTACACCTAGTAGTAAATTATTTGCCATGTAGAAATATAATTTCTACCAAAAACCGTGATTGATCAGGTTAGTCATGTCGGACTGCTATTATTTTGAACACAACTGTATATTTGTATTTGTTGACTCATCCACTAGAACACTATGTTTGACTAATTAGCCTCATCAAGTTAACTAATTAAATTAATTATATTAGCATTTTTTTCTGACCAAATATGCGCTAACTAACCAATTAATAATTTCTGAGAAATGTAACTACATATTGCGGCAACACAGACCACACCAGCTGTGATTGGTCTGCTTGGTAGCATTGCAGTTCCTTCTACACAAATGTTCAGTTGTTTTTTTTTTCCAGGCTGAGGGGTTCAGTGTGGGACAAGTTGTGTTTAGCTTGTTTCTAGTGTGCTGTTTTTGCTACGTTTGCATCCATTCACGCTCTTAAAAAAAAACATGATTGCACACTAGGGCTGCACAGTATTTGAAAAAAGAAAAAATGGAGTTTCAAATAAATTTCTCACAAACTTATCTTTGATTGAATTTAACAGCACAGATTAAAATTATTATAATTGGCTTGGAGAGCACATGCATAGATCGTTTAGAAGTAGCAGCAGTAAACTTCAAAGTGATTTTGAAATGTATACTAGATAATCCTAAAAGGACCAGTCATTACATTGCCACAGCTTGCTAAGTTTTGTTTCCTATAGCCAAGTAAAAATGTCTTAGCAAAATTTTGTTACTAATCCCTGTCTGTTCTGATTTTGTTTATAGGTTCTGGAAAGAATATGAATGCATGTGTTGCTATCAGATGGTCCTTGCTGTAAACCTGGTTCTAAGTTTGTGCAATTGCTCTGTGTTTCCTCGTATTTAATTATACTCTTCATTTGGTTCTTGTATTGCTTTCCTGTCTTTGTTTAGACCCCTCATGGTCTGTTTGTTTTCCGAGTGTTTGAGTTTTTAATAAAGTTCCCAGTGTTTGTAAGCCACATAGTGGACCTCTATTATCCATGCCTGGATGTGACATAGATTTTGAAACTTAATTGTTTTTTTAAATGCAGATAATCTTTAAGTTATATTTTATTAATATTATTTTTTATTTTAAACAATAAATGTGGTTTGGTATGGAATATTACAGAATTTCCTCATGTGACAATGTGACTCATTTCTACATACCTCTAATGTGTCAGTTGGTTGCCTTTTTGTTGGTACTTTATATTGTCATATTGCTGTGCTGTGAGTACCTCTGTGATTGATATATATTCACTTGTGATTTGGACTTACTTGCTTTTAAGTTAGCTTGCAAGTGAGCTAATGACTCTTAGTGTCTATGTAATGTACTCACCACAGAACTTCACTACATAAGGCAGATTTTTGTGGGTACTTTTGAGTCCTGTGGCCCAACAAGCCAAATAAATATGTAACCAAATGCACCCTGTCAAATATATTTGAATATTTCATTGCATACTCTCCTTCCAGACACCGTGTGTGACTCCCAGTCTCCTGGAGAGACATTTCCTGTTTCTTAGAGGATCCACAAAGTAATGTTAGCCAGACTAATAAATAACAATAAAATATTTGTGTCTGCCGATTGCTACTGCTCCAGCTTGAGATAAATATATCTGCTGGCAAATGGAGTAACTGTAAGAACCTCCAGCACATATAGGGTAATAAGCAGTGTTTGGAATTTCAGGTCCAGAAGCAAGACAAAATCTTGGTCTGGATTTGTAGCTTCAGGACCTGAAATGCCCAGTGCTGCGAAGGTCAACAATTCACTGCAGTACAAGTGGTGGGAATGTGATACTGAAAAGCAATATAAAAGGCTTACATATATTGAGTACACAAATGTATCACTGCCACAGAGTATTTTCTTATATATTATCGAAAAAGCATGATCTTCTCCCAAGTTGCAATTTGCTTTGGTGAAAACTAAATATTTTGTTAATAGAAAATCAAATCAAAGTTTATAAAATTATAACTTCAGATAAATCTTGTGCCTGACTGAGAGATTGATTCAGTGTTGAGCCTTTATCCCTAAAAACTACTCTATGAGTACCAGATAAATTTATGATCCCAGCCCCTCATTTCTATAAGTATATCAAAAAGAAGAAGAAGGGAGGTTTTGTGAGTAAATGAATAACATTTTAATTGAATTCAATTTAATTGCAAATATAGCTGTACTGATAATCCATAACAGAGAAAGCCATGCTCACAAACCAGTGTCTCTAGGTAGTCAGTGATTGAATATTTACAGTATAAAATCCAAACATTTCACGTGTCCCTCTGTAAACACTGGCCATAAACTATTGAAAGATTAAGAGCACTGCATTTTCATTGTAGGTACTATAAAAAAACCTCATGGAGGCAATTAAGATTGTAAAACAAGTATGGGGACTATGGCTTTTAATTAAAACCATATCCTCTGTCTAGGTTGAAAACAAAAATGTCTGTAAAAGATATTCTTGATTTGAAGATGTAAACATTTAATTTGCTGCATGCAAGTTGTTGTCTCAGATTTTAAGTTACCGCTATCTCCTCTAATGGGTTTTGTCATTATTTCAGGATTTTTTTGTCAATGTATTTGTAAGAGCAATAAAGATCAAACTCTAGGGCTTTTATTCCATTTGTCCTTACTGAACCACGACAGCAGAAAATGATTTTCATTGCTATCCTTTGAAGAACAAAAAGATGGAGTAGCTGTTTCCTTTTGTAACACTCATTGAGTTAACTGTGTTGTCTGTGTTATTTTGTATGAATAGCGTCATTATATTAGCGGACATACCATGTGTTCCATCTATTCATCTTTATTCTAAACAGGGACGCACTGAGCCTGGAGCCAATCCTGGGCAGCATCAGAGACAGGGAATGGGATTCCCTGGACAGGATGCCAGGCAAAGGCAGGGCACTCATGCAATGACAAACATTCAAACCAAACTGCATGTCATTCAACTGCAGGGGAAAACAAGTGCAGCACTGGGAGAGCAAACTCCATCCACACCAAGAGTGGGATTCAAACTCACAATCCTGGAGGTGTGAGTGCTACCCACTGAGTCACCGTGCCACCCCTATACGGCATCTGAATAATTAAAAATGCAAACAAAATGGTAACATGATTTTTATAAACATACTACTATGTATTAAAAATAACAATAAAATAGCAACATTTTCTCTCCTACATTTCTGAAGGCATTTAAAACGAAATAAGAAAATGCAACATATCACGTGAATCAAAATATCTGATTGCAGTCTTTTTTCATTAAACCAACAAAAAGGAAATAAAAGAATAATTCAAAACATGAGTTTAACACATTAGTACTATAGAACTAAAAAATGCTTACTGAAGGAAAGAAGGGAAGCAGATAGCAGCAGAAGATGAATGTGGCTAGATTATTCTGTTACAAGGCTGACTGAAATCTGGAATTACACTCTCTTCCCTCAGATCTTTTTATGTTCGTTTTACAAAGGGACCCCAGAGAGAGGATATAATGATCACGGAGTTTTGGGCAGATGGTAACTGGCGGAGGAAATCCCACAGAGACATAAGCCACACAAAGCTTTCAACCCCATCCCACCAGAACAGGACAGGGTTGGGGTGTAGAGAGAAGGGGGTCGGGGTGCCAAAGGGGCGGTCCTAATACAAGCCTGACTCTTTCACTGTCACTTCACAGGATGCAGCTAAGATGGGAAAATTACAAATGGGATGCAAACACAAATATACGGCTTTCTCCTGAAGTGTGGTGGCAAAGCCTCTGTCAGAAAGTGAGCTGTCATCACATTTTTTTGAGAATGCTTTCGCCCAGCTCTTCCCGAATTCCTAGCTGCGGCATATGGAGGGTGCTCAGGATATCATTTTCTGGCTAAGACGAAGCTCCCCAGTTGCAATTAATGAAGTGCACAAGTGGTATTGGGGGGGGGGACACGAGATCTTCACAAATCTACTCCCCTCTGCTTCTGAAGTCACAAAACCTGCCTTCATTTACTTACCTCTCCACACATTTACAGAGATCCTCCCCAAAGATCACAGGGGTTTACAAGATTTTTATATGTATTTGAGGTCTTTCATGGCAGGCCCCATCCATGCCAGTTATCCAGAGCATACCTCCCGTGACACAGTAAGCGTGAAAAGAATAACTTTCCATGGCTCCTTTTCAGATTATAGGCTCCCTAATTCCCAAGTGCCCCCTTAGGCCCTTATGCGAAATCTTTAATGCAGGAAGGTGATGAAAGCAGCACCAGCACCTGACTGCCATCATCTGACTGCCCTCTGCATTGAGACTCAAATCTTAAAATTTGGACAGTGTAAATGGGGATTTTGCCATCCTATTCATTTGACTTCCTTTGCTGGCCTTTGGAGGATGGGCTCCCCCTTTGAATCTGGCTCCTCCCAAGGTTTCTTCCTTCTAGGGAGTTTTTTCCTTGCCACCTCTGGCTTGCTCTCTGGGGGTTTTGGACATGGATAATGTAAAATGCTTTGAGGTAATGTTGTGAAAATGCACTATGCAAATTGAATTGAATTAAATTGAAGTGAAGTTACGCTTATATTTTGCTTTGTTGATGTTTTAAAAAGGTTAGGTTAAGTATGTTTTATACATTGGAACCCAAGGAATGCAGAGTAGAAAAATTTTGGAAATTACGTTTCATTTTACCGGTTTATAATTCAGTTTTAGATAGCTGCTTTCAGCATCAACCTGCCAGAGACAAGCCCTACAGCTACTATATATGTTTCATAAATAATAAATCAAAAAAATATATAAGATTCATATATAAAAACTGGAACACAAACTCAATGTTGACTCAAAAATTTTTAACCATCCATTTCCTGAAACCACTTATCCTGAGCCTATCCCAGAGGCTACAGGAGCAAGGCAGGGAACAGCCTAGGATGGGGCACAAACCCATCACTCTTAAATTCCCTAGATGAATTTGTATTTAGTTTATATGGAACTCACATTCCACATCAATCACTGCCATAACATACAATTTGAATATAAAAAAACCTAAATTTTGTAAGTTTATCATTCATTTAGTGAATGATTAATAGATAAATATACTGAGAAACTGATGTTTACATGGTAAGTATGCCATGAGCATTAAACTGAGCCTCCGAATATACAATGTACAATGAGGTCCAATCACCAGTAGATGGCATCATACAACCAGAGAAATATCATTCGTTTACCTGCCTCCATACTGAAAGGCGGTGATGGGAGACTAACAGAAATCTGCAATGAAAGCACTTTTTTGTCTTATACTGCTGCTAAGTCAGCATATGCAGTGTACAAAGAGTGCCATTAAAGAAGATCCCATAGCATAGAGTCGTGTCTGTTGAAGAACATGAAGGGGTCTTATAAGGGGTCTTACATGAAAATGGTCTTGAGCTCATATTTATACACACATCCTCTAGACTTTTTCACCACTAACACTTGGTTATAACAGCTCCTGCAGAGCATCATGCTAACAACGTAAAGGTTCCAGGTTCAAATCCCAGGAATTACACCTACACTCACCTAAAGGATTATTAGGAACACCTGTTCAATTTCTCATTAATGCAATTATCTAATCAACCAATTACATGGCAGTTGCTTCAATGCATTTAGGGGTGTGGTCCTGGTCAAGATAATCTCCTGAACTCCAAACTGAATGTCAGAATGGGAAAGAAATGTGATTTAAGCAATTTTGAGCATGGCATGGTTGTTGGTGCCAGACGGGCCGGTCTGAGTATTTCACAATCTGCTCAGTTACTCAGTTACACGCACAACCATTTCTAGGGTTTACAAAGAATGGTGTGCAAAGGGAAAAACATCCAGTATGCGGCAGTCCTGTGGGCGAAAATGCCTTGTTGATGCTAGAGGTCAGAGGAGAATGGGCCGACTGATTCAAGCTGATAGAAGAGCAACTTTGACTGAAATAACCACTCGTTACAACCGAGGTATGCAGCAAAGCATTTGTGAAGCCACAACACGCACAACCTTGAGGCGGATGGGCTACAACAGCAGAAGACCCCACCGGGTACCACTCATCTCCACTACAAATAGGAAAAAGAGGCTACAATTTGCACGAGCTCACCAAAATTGGACAGTTGAAGACTGAAAAATGTTGCCTGGTCTGATGAGTCTCGATTTCTGTTGAGACATTCAAATGGTAGAGTCAGAATTTGGCGTAAACAGAATGAGAACATGGATCCATCATGCCTTGTTACCACTGTGCAGGCTGGTGGTGGTGGTGTAATGGTGTGGGGGATGTTTTCTTGGCACACTTTAGGCCCCTTAGTGCCAATTGGGCATCATGCCTACCTGAGCATTGTTTCTGACCATGTCCATCCCTTTATGACCACCATGTACCCATCCTCTGATGGCTACTTCCAGCAGGATAATGCACCATGTCACAAAGCTCGAATCATTTC